TGCTGGCTGTTGGCATGAGACCATATTATCTACCCTGGGAGTTTTCTCATGTCATTATATGTATGTCCCCCTGTCTGCTAAAGCCAAGTCTGCTTGTGACATTCTCCACTCTGTTACAAGTAGGCTGCAAAGACAGCACCCCCTGGCTCTCCTTCTGATCTCTGATCTGCAGGGACATTGAGCTGCTGGCTGTTGGCATGAGACCATATTATCTACCCTGGGAGTTTTCTCATGTCATTATATGTATGTCCCCCAGTCTGCTAAAGCCAAGTCTGCTTGTGACATTCTCCACTCTGTTACAAGTAGGCTGCAAAGACAGCACCCCCTGGCTCTCCTTCTGATCTCTGGGGACTTCAACCACGCCTGTCCTTCCACCACCCTGCCCACCTTCACCCAGTATGTTTCCTGCCACACCAGAGACAATAAAACACTGGATTTATTTTATGCCAACACCAAAGAGGCATACCACTTATCCCCCCTGCCCCCCCTGGGAAAAGCTGATCACAACCTGGTTCATCTTCTGCCTGTCTACAAACCTCTGGTGCAGAGGGAACCAGCAACCACCCGCACTGTGAAGAGGTGGTCTGATGAGGCTGAGGAGGCCCTGAGGGACTGCTTCGATACCACTGTGTGGGAGGTACTCAGAGATTCCCATGGGGAGGACACTGACAGTCTGACATCATGTATTATGGATTATATTAACTTCTGTGTGGAAAGCACCATACCCACTAGGACTGTACGCTGCTTCTCCAACAACAAACCCTGGATTACTCCAGATATAGAAGCTCTCCTGAAGGAGAAGCAGAGAGTTTTTAACTCTGGAACTAGGGAGGAGCTGAAGGCCATGTAAAAGGAGCTACGGAGAAACATCAGGCAGGGAAAGGAAGGATATAACAAGAAGATGGAGGAACAGCTGCAGCAGAGTGATGTCAGCGGAGTCTGGAGAGGTCTGAAAACCATCTCAGGACACAAACAACCAGACTCCCAGTCCAGAGGTTACCAGTAGTGGGTGAATGATCTGAATCTGTTCTTCAATAGATTTGATCAGTCTGCCCCTCCCCTGGCCCAGACATCACGGCTGCAATCCCCCACATCCTCACCTTCACCTCCCCCCCACCTACACTCCTGGCACACTGCTTCAACACCTCCCCCATCCCCGCTCCCCCGGACATCTCACCACTCCCCACTCCTCCCCCCACCTCATCACCTCTACCCCCCAGCACAGCCCCCCTGCTCCAGCTTGTCCTTCACTACCTGTCAGGTGAGAGAACAGCTGAAGAGGATAAAGACGAGGATGGCTGTGGGTCCAGACGGCATCAGCTGCAGGCTCCCTAAGTCCTGCGCAGACCAACTCTGCGGGATAGTTGAAACCATTTTCAACCTGAGCCTGAGGCTGGGGAGAGTACCACAGCTGTGGAAGACATCCTGCGTGGTACCTGTGCCCAAGACTCTGCATCCCAAGGACTTCAGCAGCTTCAGACCGGTGGCATTAACATTGCACCTCATGAAAACTCTCGAGCGCCTGGTCCTGTCTCGTCTCCACCCCGCAGTAGGCCCTTCAATAGACCCGCTGCAGTTTGCCTACCAGCCTGGCATTGGTGTGGAAGACGCCGTCGTCTTCCTCCTGCATAGAGCTCTTTCTCATCTGGAGAAGCCCGGAAGCTCTGTGAGAATCATGTTCTCTGACTTCTCCAGCGCTTTCAACACCATACAGCCTGCGCTTCTGAAGGACAAACTGGAGCACATAGGGGTGGCTAATCACCTCACATCCTGGATCCTGGATCCTGGACTACCTCACGGACCGGCCGCAATATGTTAGGACCCAGGATTGTGTATTGGACTTGGTTGTCTGCAGTATGGGGGCCCTGCAGGGGACGGTGCTGGCACCATTCCTCTTCACCCTCTACATTGCAGACTTTTCATACGACACCCCCCCGTCATCTGCAGAAGTTCTCTGACGACTCTGCCATAGTCAGCCTCACCACAGATGGGGACAATAGGGAGTACAGAGAACTGAACCAGGTCTTTGTGGACTGGTGCCTGAGGAACCACCTCCAGATCAATGCGGGGAAAACCAAAGAGCTGGTGGTGGATCTCCGCAGGTGCAGACTCCTCCCCCCAACACCAGTGAACATCCAGGGAAAGGACATTGAGATGGTGACATCTTATAAGTACCTGGGTGTCAGTGGCGGCTGCTGGTCTTTCAAGGAGGGGAAGCTCATTTTCGGCCTACATCATAAAATGTGTCCGTTTATTTATACGTAAATTCTACCCTCCGTTCCTTTCCAAGAAAATGATCTGTGACCCTGTCGTACCAACTAGGCGTCTTTTCCAGGGACTTGACCAGTGTCCTTTCAATGGCCAGCAGAGCTAGGCTGCTTAGATGGTTTCATCAAGAGGCATGGCCAACAGTACATTTTATTTGTCACAGCACTTCCAGTCAGCCAGCTTACTTTGTCATACCAGGATAGCTGAAAAGACCTGTTACTTTTCCCCACCCTTTGCACCAAATCAATCTGAGGTGTTGATCTGCCCTGCTGTTTAACTCTAAGTTTCTCCTCGTAAGGAAGACTATCAAATGGCTTCACCAAATCCGGTCGACAATATTCAAATTGTCTGCCATTATGTGCAGCTTGCTAGCTCGCTCACTAGCTGGGGCTGCTGCGCGAGGCTAGTGTGACCACCTGTGAATGCTTTTGGGACAGTGGAGGGGCTCACAGTGCTCGTTGGGGACAGTAACTGCAGAGCGACAGAAGTCAGAGTCTCCAAACACGAGTACAGTCTCCAATAACACCAGAAAAAGATGCTAGATTTGTCACTAGTCGTTTTTAAGAAAAAGTCACTAAGAGGATTGGAAAAGTCTCTAGATCAACTCAGAACAACGGAATGAAACTTGAAAAATGCTCCGGTGGTGTTTATATTTCAAGATCGCTGATTCGCTCATTTCGCTGTCAATCAAAAAGGGATTCAGCCTCAGAATCCAATCATCATGCAGAAGCCCAGCATCCAGGCCAGCCAAGGCCAGCTCACTGCCCCATAGACCCCCAGAGACGCTGAGTGTCCGATGGGCGGGACAAAACCAAGCATTTATCCAATGACTGTCTAGTTTCGCTGCAGTGGAACAACCCACTCTATGCTTCCCCATTGAAGTCTTTGGACGCTGAGCTTCGACACTGTTTAATGCACTGTGACGCTACGGGAATGAATAAGAAGAAAGTCGCATCAGTGACCTGTGATAAGTAGCTGATTCTGAACAAAAGTTGAACGCGTTCTAGCGCATATTTAGTCAATGAAATGTAAACACAACAGTACATATTTGACCACTTATTTTTTGACATTTTAGGGGAAGCTGAGCTTCCCTTGCAGTCTTAGAGCAATCGCCACTGCTGGGTGTTCATCTTAACAATAAACTGGACTGGACTAATCACATAACTGCACTGTACAGAAAAGGCCAAAGCAGTCTCTACCTGCCGAGGTGGCTCAGGTCTTTTGGAGTGCAGGGGGCACTCCTGAAGACCTTCTTTGACATTGTGGTGGCATCAGCCATCTTCTACGGAGTGGTGTGCTGGGGCAGCAGCGTCTTGGTTGCAGATAGGAAGAGACTGGACAAGCTGATCAAGAGGGCCAGCTCTGTCCTGGGATGCTCTCTGGACACTGTGCAGGTGGTGGAAGAAAGGAGGATGACAGCCAAGCTGTCATCTCTGAGGACTAATGACTCCCACCCCCTGCAGGAGGAGATAAAAGCTCTGGAGAGCTCCTTCAGCGATAGACTGATTCACCCAAAGTGCGTGAAGGAACGCTATCGCAGGTCCTTCCTGCCTGCTGCTGTCAGGCTACATAACCAGCACTGCTCACAATAAACTGCACCATGGGCACTTTAGGGACACCATAATAAGCATAACTGCCCCCCTTTTTGTTGTTTATTTGCACAGACAATTTTTCACTTTGCACTAAATATGTTCACTTTATCCATTGCTCACTTTTTATCCACTGCTCATCATTATTTATTGCTGTCTCTTGTATTTTTTGTACTTTTTTTGCATGCCCAGTTTTTTAAGTTTTTAAATTTTGAAATCTTTAATCTGACTCTTTCCACTTGACTGCTGTAACACTGGAAT